TATCCAGAAGGAATAATGAATCATAAAAGCTTCAATTGTAAAGAAAAAGGAGTAATCATGCTTACATGCCAAAACACTTATCTCCCTTAGCTGAATTGACACACAAAAAAAGTCTGCATATCTACATACATCCTAACATGGTGATCTAAGCCGAAAAAGGGGCAAGATGCCCCAAGCAAAATGGGGGAAACCACATCTGCTACCATGAAATGTCAATGGCTACCAAACATTAGAGGATATAATAGGTTAGTTATGGAGCCACAGGTCACACATTTTATGGCAGTTTTTGGATTTGCCATGGACTAAGGCTGTGAATTCGTCCATCTCCGCCACCTCTCCCATTTAAGAAAAAGTAAGCTAGAATAGGTGTGCTAGGTATATCCTACAATTTTGAATCAATGCATCTCTCTATGGGGAACACTCAGTGTCTCCATGTAAAGCATGGAGTCGAGTGCTTGAAACTTTATTTCAGAAAATCTTACAGTTGCCTGCTCTGCTCCCAGACAAGCCAAGAGAGCGGTTTTCAGGGAAAAGACTCTCCTGAATGAGGGTAACATTCGCTCCCTTTGAGCCAGTGGGAGCATTAATTTGTTTTCTCATAGGAACTCCCAAAAGTTGACCAGCCACTACCTCTTTTCTTATGGAAGTATTTTGGACACCAGCCACGTGTGCAGTCAGTCAAAACTTTACCCCAGTGGCGATTTGACTATACTACATGGATCTGAGTGCTATTTGGACAACTTGGGCGCTCAGATCAAGGCTATCCTGGGATATAAGACTTGTGGGGGTCACTAAAATATTGTATGTATTTTGTTTGTGTGTTATGTACTGTACCTTGAGTGCCTAGAAGATAATTAGTTTAAGCAAAAGCACTTATCTCCTAGACACAGAGACGCCTGGGCGGGCTTAACTATGTTTTTGCTGGAGACAATATTGGGCATAATAAGCCATTCCTTTTGTATCCTTCAGTTTGGGTATGCGACAGAGAGAGTATTAGATTCACACGAACCTTGCGTGAATTCAGGAATGGGTGGATGAACATACCACTCTGGGAACATGCGGTTCGTTACACCCTTTATCTTGCAATAATTACTATCCAGGGTTAACTCCATCTCTAGTGGCTGTCAACCAGACAGCCTTTAGAGGGACTTCCAAATCGTTAGGCGACTTTAGGTTGCCTGACGCTGGACATCCTCACATTATGCATGAGGATGTCTAGAGTTACCCAGAACCCCACAGGGGAAAGCGAGCGTGGCCATTGCCGCACATGCGCATTAGATCTCCCCCGCCAAGGAGCAGAGGCAGAGTCCAAGCTAGTGGCGAATTACAGTTTTTAACCCCTTCAGCACCACGGGGAGGGAGGCACTATAGGGAGCTAGAGTGCCAGGAAAACAACTTTGTTTTCCTAGCACCACAGTGTTAATAGGTCCCCCCTCCCACCAGGCTCTAGGGGGAGGAAGGGGTTAAACGCTTACCTTTCTCCCGCGCCAGGCTCACTCGGCGCTGGGGACTCTCCTCCCTCTTCCGACAAATGCACAAGCATGGCAAGAGCCAAGCGCGCATTCAGTCCATAGGATAGCATTTCTAAATGCTTTCCTACGGACGCAAGCTTCTCACTTTGAAAATCACAGTGAGAAGCGCGGAAGCGCCTCTAGCGGCTGTCAATGAGACAGCCACTAGAGGCTGGATTAACCCTAATGTAAACATAGTTTCTCTGAAGCTGCAGGGTTAACCCTAGATGGACCCGGCACCCAGACCACTTCATTGAGCTGAAGTGGTCTGGGTGCCTATAGTGGTCCTTTAAGCTTTAGAGGTTCTGGTAACTATAGAGTCCCTTTAAGAATTGTATTTTTATTGTTGAAAATGAAACTTCATTAGTTTAAAAAAAAATATATATATATATATATATATATTTTTTTTTTTTTTTAAACCTGGCACCTAACATTTTTTAGATGGCTCCTACATTTCAAGCAAAATGGCCAAGCCCAGGCCTGATGTAATGTGAAATTAAAATTATAACATTTGGTAATACCAGTTACTTGATACAACTAAAGTGTATTTCATTACTTATTTTTCCAACATTAAAACAAAAGGTATTTTGGTTTTAGCATTTGGAGCGTTCCTTTAACTCTCTAAATTAATTCTGGAACCCCAATAAATTGGGGGGGGGGAGGGGAATAGATAACTACTTTTATCAACAGTGACTAGTCCACTCTAGCCTCTACTCCTTTCTGCCACTGGAGACTGTCAGTGAAGAGTCTGTCTCCCAGCTTGTCCACTCGAAACTGGCACACGTGGTAATTGGCGCAAATATTGCAATTGCTATAGAAGCTCTCCCATCCACTTGAATGATCATTGAACTGGAGTGATTCAGGAAGCCCTCCTGGCTGTCAGCTTGACTTCCAGCTGGGCATTTCTAAGTAATTTTATAATAGTGTAGATTTCTCCTTAGTACTTTTATGAACTGGGACCAGGGGGTCATGCAGCCAACCCCTAAAGTTAAAGTGCTTTTGGGAGACTGGTGTGTGCCAACAAAATAGTCTCCCAATGTTTTCCGATTGATGATCTCAGCCATGGAGGTGGGGCCAGCTGCGGCATCACCAGCAGGGCACGGGAAAAGAAGTGAGTAAAAACACCTTTACCATGTAATTGGAGGGGGCAGGTCACCTTAACATACACACTCACTGACAGACACACTAATTTAAATCCACCCAGACTCCCTACCTTTGGGAGAAGATCAGCTTTCCCTGGGGTCATCTCCCTACTCTGCTCCCTAGAGTGCTGTTTAGAGATGCGGGACAGGACTTATGTCATAAGCCGGCTCCCAGTATCACGGGAGGTCGCGCGTTGAATATTACAGCTCCCTCACTGTCAATGCCGCATTCAGAACCGCCTACCTCAGCTCTCCATGAGCTGACCACTCACCTGCCTCAGCCCTGCATGAGCCAACTGCCCACCTCTAATCTGAGGGAGCCAGTCACCTTAGGGGTTGAACGGGCTCAAAAATCCCAGGTACCATGACAAATTTCCTGGTCGCCATGGTGACCTGGAATGTGCCGAATCCTGCATTCCAATTACCCAGTGTTTTTGACCGGTTGGGGTAAGTTAAACTCATCTCTCCCTTCCCCTGGCCACCAGAACCAAGAGTGGCAATGTCACCGACATGGGTCTTTGCAAATCTGAAAATTCAGAAGCTGGATGCTTCCGGGGGCAACTCTGGGGTTAAACCATTGGAGAATGGTTTAACCCTTTGAGCTAAGAGTGCCTAAGGGTGCCTCCGGGCACCATAACTTCTTTATTTAGATTAGGTTGTTTTTATTCTCTTTGAATTCACTTCAGTAAATAACCTTGATAGTCGCTTCAAAAGATGAATGCCTCAAAGCTGTGTGACTCAAAAAAGTTACCAAAGTACTCTGTATCAGACTTTGTTAAGTACAGGTTGTGTTGTGAAACAAAATTGTGAATAGTGCGTTCCATTTGCTTTGTTTTTTTTTTTTTTTGCAATACTTGTATCGGCTACTGTACATATTTAAACCAACAGTTTAGGTGTTTAAAGAACAAACAAAACAGTCCGTTTGAAAATAAGAGGACGAGGAATTGCCTAGAAAGGTAGGTGTTTGATCTCAACAGACGATGGCTGTATGCAGCAAATGATCTGTATTTATAAGGGGCATTTTTAAGTATGTATATATAAATATATTTTAATAAACTTTTTACGTCACATTACAAATTGTTTAAAAATAAATAAAATTACATCTATTCAAATGTGTTAATGATAAAGTAATTTAAGCAAATTAAATGCTTTAAAATTCGATCTGAAACATGCACAATATAAAAGCCTCTATATATCTTTATATCAACAAAGGCTACTACACCCTTACTCCTAAATGCATCCGTATAATTGCCAAATGGGCTGTTTACAATATGTATTTTGCTAGTTGTGCAAACTGTCCCAATTAGTACAGCCTCTCAGTAAGCAGACACTGGATACTGCAGCTACATCACACACGGCTGTTAATATGGCCCCCGGAATGACAAGGCACAATAAAGGGAATCCCAAGCATGGTGTGATGTTCGAGCGTGCCCCCATAGTTTGCTATATATAATGATATAATATAATGATATAGATAGACAGACAGACAGACTGCTGGGAGGGGGATAGTGCCGGGCTCGCAGTGAGGGCCTGGGCCGGCCGGCCGGTGACTCAGCATGGCCCCGGATTACCCTCTCTCTCCCGGTGTCAGAGCATGTTCCCCCCAGGAGGCCCCGGCCTGGGAAGCCCAGCTCTCTCCCATGGATGGCCTGTACTCGCGGCCCTCCGGTTTCCATGGTAGCGGCTCCCGGTAGCTCCCCAGCCCGGGATACACGGCAGGACCGGCCGTGACTGGGCGGGATACATAGCGCAATACAGGCCCTCCCGCCGTGACAGCACACACGCTGCGCTCGGGGTAGCTCACCCGCTGACGTGATCATGGTTAGTTTCAGAGTCCCCTTTCCGTTGTTTCAGCGAGAACCCCCGGTACAATGCTCCCGGCAAGATCCACTATTACTCTGCTGCATCCGGCGCGCTGTACACGTCACACCGAGACCGGAAGTGTCGCTCGCCATGGAGATACGGGAAGCAGCGCCGGCAGCCATTTTGGAATTGGGCAAAGCTGCACGTGCACCAGCTGTAGCTGTAACTGCATTATTACAGCGCCGCTTCAAATAGTGTTTTATAAGTCGCAGTATATTATTTATTATGTTACTATGCACCGTCTGCATGAGTATTAAGGGGACAATGTGGGCAGGAGAAAACTCCCATTCTTAGTGCTTTGTGTACAGGGTGGCCCATAGGTCCCTACCCATCCCTGGGTAGGGGATTATGGCCCACCCTGTAGATCATGGGTCCTCAAACTCCGGCCCCCCCAGATGTTGCTGAACTACAACTCCCATGATTCTTTAAATTGCATAGATAGCCAGAGAACCATGGGAGTTGTAGTTCAGCAACATCTGGGGGGGCTGGAGTTTGAGGATCCACCCTGTAGAGAGTGCTTTGAAGTTCCTGCTTTTGTTTCAGATCCTAGTGCAGGGGTAGGCGACCTTTTAGCAGAAGATTGTGATGACCCGGAGCATGCCGGTCCTATTTTTGTTAAATTGAGGTTTGTATGTTGCTGTGTTCTGCTTGTTATTCATACTGCAGTTGTTTTGTATTGTTGTATTTGTGCATATGTGAGCTGTTATATTGTATATGTTCATGAGTAGTTTGTGGCATCGTGTACCTGTGTGTTGGGGGCTGCTTGTGAAATTATGCGTGGATGGATATGTCACATTGTGTGTTTGGTGGGGTGTGTATGTGTGGGGCTGTTTGGGGTATTGCATGTGGGGTTGTGTGCATGTATGTGGATTGTTAGTGGTGTTGCATTTGTGCAGATTGTGTGTGAGCTGTTAGTATTATTTGTATGAGGGGAGGGTTATTCTGCATTTCTGTGGATATCTAGAAGTATGGGTGGCTTCCCTGGGGTCCAGTGGGGACCAGGCTGGCTGGGCAGGAGCTGCGATAGCTGTTGCGGGCTGCTCTACTCCAGTGTGGATTATCATTCACAAGTGCTGGAATGAAGTGATATGAGATCACTTCTTCCATGTGCTGCAATGCATTAATTGAGAATTGTCCTTAACCACCTTTTCGTATTAGCAGATATCTGAAGTTTCACTGAGACTCCTGATAGACCAGAGCATGTTTGGCTCTAGCAGCCTTGAGTGCCGTGCATGGCACATCTGCCATAGGTTGCCTACCCCTGTCCTCAGTGGTGTATCCTGGTTTTGTGCTGCCGTAGGCATCACAAAATTCAGACGCCCCTCCCCCCACCACCCTTCCCCCCTGCCTTCTAAATACACACACATTCACTGACAGACACGCATACACTAGCTAACAGACATACACACTCACTAACAGACACATACAGTCACTAGCAGACACACGCATTCACTAACAGACACGCACGTAGTAACACACTCCCTAATAGACACACTCCCTGACATACACACAATCACTAACACACACTCACTAACAGACACACACACACTTACATTAACACACTCACTTTTTTTTTTATTTTATTCAACCCCCAGCCTCCTTACCTTTGGGAATACTGGGGGGGGGGGGTTCTCCCTTTCCCTGGGGGTCCAGTGGCTGCTGGTAGGGCGGCCACTGGCGAGGGAGCACTTTCCCCTGAGCTCTCTGCTCAGCTCCCTCGCGTGCTGCAGAGTCATGCCGGGAACCGGATTTTGAGATAGCTTGAGCTGAGGAGGCCAAGACTCATAAAGTAACAAGGCACAAGAGACATCAAAGCCTATAAGTATCTTGGTGTAGGCAGGCATAATACCCTGGTACCCTTAAGGAGCCTACAAACCAGACGATGCTGACTAGCTGGGAAACTGTTGAACCCTGATGTGCTTAAGAAATGACAGAATGTTACAAGTTCGATGTCCTATACTCACAACCGGCCTCATACAGGGAGGTAAGAAACTGCAAGATGGCAGTCAAGGCCTGAGCCATGCATCAGCCAGCCCACGAACACCAAGCAGAGCAATAGGATTTCTGAATTCCAGTGGCCCATGCACCTCCAAAAGATGTCTAGTCAGAAGCACTCAGGACATCCCAATTCAAACACACCAGGAGGGAAATAGAAGGCGATGAGTAAAACCCTCTGGAATGTGAAGTAAGAACTACTAAGAGGGAAAAAGCCCAGGGAAGTCAATGGCTAGTTCCAGAAGCAGTGGAAATCAAGACTGAGCCATACCAAATGGGAACAGACAGATGATTGTCACTTGCTGCTGCCAGTCCTACAGAAATGTTCAGGGATTCAAAAAAAAAAATGGAGGAAAAGCTGAGGGTTTTGGCCAGTGAGTCCACAAGAAATTAGAGGAGTTCCAAATTCCGTGACAGATATAGGCAGGAATTCTTCCAGTTGACCAGGAACTCCAGGCTTGTCAAAAGATTCAGAGTCCAGCAAATATGCAGCAGTGATGTGTACTACAGTACACATCAGCCTCAATACAAACAGTAAAAACAAAGAAAAAAGTTACATCACAAATCACTATGTTGATGTCTCTAGGTCGATGTGTTCTATATCCATTGCTGCCATCCAGGAGCAGTGGGAGTTTGAGCGCAGAGCTTAATTTTGTATTATTGTATTTGCTGTGATAATACACAGCCATGTTTCTAGTGCTGTCACCCCCTATTGAGGGTTAAGTGTGTAGGAGTATAGAAAAATACCGCTCTCTGTCTCATTGGAAAATTTGCTATTTAGCTTAAAGCAGCAAGATGAATTGCTAGTGTAGGACTCACCTAAGAGGCTTTTGCTTGATGTTGAGCTTACACTTTGATGGCCATTGGAGTGATACTAAAACCCTCCAGTTATTTAAATGTGCATAGGGATTTGGCATAGAACGCAATTAAAGTTTTTCTATGGTTCTTTTAGTATAATTGGTCTGATCAAACACACTCAAAGTATTACATCTGGCCTTTGCACCAGTGGAAGGTTAACTGTGGCATAGTGCCTGCAGGACATGTTTAGGGACTGTTAAGTAAAGCACTTTAGTTTTAGGTATGAGAGAGTGCCATACTCCCTAAATGCGGCATGAGGTCCGGAAGAGTAATTCTCAGGTTTGTAATAAAGAACAGCATATCGTCTGCATATGCAGCCACTCTATGTTCCGAGTCATCCACTCTAAACTTCATCACATTTGGATCTTTCCTTATTGCCTCCAGGACTGGTTCCAGTATCAGAGCAAAAAATAAGTGGGACAGTGGACAACCCTGCTTAGTGCCATTATGTATCTGCACAACCTCCGAGAGAGAGCTGTTCACACATACTCACGCTTCAGAGGAGGTATAAAGAGATGTGATCCATGAGTGGAGCCACGTCCTGAAGCTCCCTCCTATCCAATAGTAGCTCTTGATACAATGTATCTGCTTAGGAACACTTATGCGAGATTATGATCTGAGATTCGCGAGGTAAGGTCGTACAGTTTCGCTAAACCCTCCTCCTTTTTGCAGGTGGCTATGCTAAGCAAGTGTCCCCACAGGCGCAATTGTGAGCTTTCCACAAATTCAGCTGGGATATCTCAACGGTTTAATTTTCTTCAAAGTATGTTTTAACAGCTTATGATATCTGATCTATTACCACCATATCTGATCTACTACCACCATATTGTTCAGGAGGGGTTTATTACATTTAATGAAACTTAATGACATTTCTATTAAATGATGCATGTTGACTTTTTGGGGAAAATTTTATTTACTTATTTTTCCTTTCCAAAATGTGCTATTTAATTATACTTATTTTTAATCAACAGGAAATGTTTGACTACAACGAGTATGCTATTAGTTTTGGTGCTACGCAACTCATACCTGAACAGGGAAAAAAATTCAGACTGTGTATCTAGTTTCTCTGTTGGGAACTGCCCTTTTTATGCAAGCCAGCAAACAGTCCCTGGCAGCAATGTCACTTCAGTAGAATAGATGTTCTAATGCTACCAGGTATAGCAATGAATATCACTTTTTTATCTGACTGAACAGCCATGTTGCTGGGTAAGACTACTGTTATCTGAACAACTGCTGATCAAATTAACTCACCTGCTGCTGCAGTTTCACATAGAACTATCATCACAGCAGCAGGCAAGTTAGGTCGAGCAATAGTTGTCTGATAACAGTAGAGTCAGACATAACACGGCTGCTCACCCTGATAAAAAGTACAATTTTCTAGAGAAAAAAAAATCAATATACATAATTTTACAATATGTATTATTAAGTTTCATTAAATGTAATAAACACTTAAGAAGTGAAACTGTGATGGCAGTTGTCCTTTAAAAGGCCTATTGGATTGAAGGATCACTCACATCCAACATTGAACTGGACTGCAGAGGGAGCTCTTGCCTTAGATACTAGTTTGCTCTTAGGCTGTCTCAAAAATGCAAATCGTAGTGAATCAAAAACTGAATGAGAAAACGTAGTTGTGACTAATGCACAGTTCAAGAATTCATCCAGATTTCAATTCTTTACAGCTTTGAGTTTAGTGAATAACCCTTTAGGCAAAAGATGTTACCCAGCTACAGTCTATTGGATGGGCTGATATTAATAAAGTTCATATGTGGATATCACTATTACAGCTGTCTATACATGCATGAAATTGATACTGTTAAAGGATTACTTTAACCACCATGACTACTACATTGATTTGAAGTGATTATGGTGGTAGGAGTCTGAATGTGCAGTGTTTCTGTTACGGGTGTCCAATGTCAACTCTGTGCATAAAATACATCTGTCGTAAACAAGCACTGCATGCTAAACCTTCAATCTTTTTGCAGGTGGCTATGCAGAACACCTACAAGGGGAAGATTGCAATTCCACCCCCACCCCCCTTCCCAACACCATTGTGCTGCCTCCTGCCTCCTTACATTGCCCTCAGTTTTTTTTGTTTGTTTTTTTCCTGGAGAGGATTGTCAGGGAAAGGCCATTCAAAAGCGTTGGGGACTTTGACAAGGAGTGGACTGAGGCTGGAGTCAGTGCATCAAGAGCCACCACACACAGACTGATCCTGGACATGGGCTTCAGATATCGTATTCCTCTTGTCAAGCCGCTCCTGAACAACAAACAACGTCAGAAGCGTCTTACCTGGGCTAAAGAAAAACAGACCTGGTCTGTTGCTCAAGGGTCCAAAGTCAATGTCACGACTGCTAGTGTGGTCCAGCACACAGAACTAAGGCCCTGGGGAGTCAGCACAGCTAAACGGACAAGACTTACTTTTCTGCCATCCTCAGCTGCCCTGGATGGCTGGCACCTGCATGGGCAATTTCTCCCCTTCACCCTGGTTTGGCCGCAGGTTCTCCCCCTCCCACCCCCTGTGGCCAGGCCTCTGCTGGGGCCTCCCTCGCAGCCACATTCCCTGCGGGCCGTATGAGCACAGGCCGGCACTCATGCCCGCCTGCTTCTTTAAGTCCTGATGTCTCGCCCCGGGCCCTTTATGGGAGCAAGGGCCGAGGCGCCACCAGGCCCACGTATGTGGCCTTCTGGCACGCGCTCTGGTCCCCCTGAGGTTCCTGGTCCGCCCCCTTGTGCAGCGGGTCGAAGACGGTCGACATGGAGCAGCTGGGCGGACAGCGGGCCTGTACCTGGGCTGGTGAGTGGGCTGCGCGGGGCACACTGGTGCTGCTGTTGGAGGGGAGGGGGGGTCCTCCCTGGGCTCTGCTATGTCCTCTGGGGATGGGATTTGGCCGGGGTTCCGCCAGGTTCCGCTCACATTTTCCCCTCCTCCTTGTGGTTTCTCCCCTGTCTTTCCGCCTACCCCCCCCCGCCCCCCCCGTTTCCTTTTCTGTAGTCCCCTTCTGTGTCCGGTTCTGCTCCCTGGTATTTCCTCCTTTCCTCTCCCCCCCTCTCTCTCTGGGTTCCCTTCCTCTGCCTGGGCCCTCTGTGTCTGCCCTTGGTCCCGTGTGCCTGCTGGCTACTCACCTCGGCTGCTCCTCTGGGAGTGTGAAGCTTACCTCCTCGCCGCTGCTCTTCTCACAGGATCTGGTTGTTGTTCCTGGGACTGTCCAGCAGGTGGCGCTTGGAACTCCTGCTAGTCTGCACAGTGAAGAAATTCAACTTACCTCTGTCCTGTCTGGATCTTCTTTGCTTCCTTTGCCGCGGGAGGTTCCTCGGGCATCGGCCCGTGAGTACATTTCAGTCTCTTCGGTTGGGGGTCCCTCGCTGGGTGGGTTTCTGTCCGGGCTTAGGGGTTTTCAGGTTTATGGGAGTGGGGTGCGCACGCTGGGGGGTCCCCTCTTTACATAGTCGGGTTCGGGCGGCTGGGTCCTCGCTGCATCCACAAGGGGTTCAGGCGGCCCCTGCGGTCACGGGGTTCCCCTCTCCTGGGACGAGCGTCCATGGCATCCCTACCTCGGTGTCAGGTGCCGCGGCGCCTGCTGTTGCAGAGGTGTCTCCAGCCTTGGGGGACCCCCCTGGGTGTTTCTGACATGGCGCGTGAGTCCGCCTATATGTGTTGGTCAGGTTAGGAGAGGTACTAGTACCGGAGATCCCCCAAAACAAAAAACACATAAACAAAAAAAAAAGTCAATAAATAATTAGTAGAAAAAAAAATAAAAATTGGGGGGCTTGCACTTGTGGTGGGAAGTTAGGGACAGGGTTTGGCGGGGGGGGGAATTTGTGGAAGTTTTATTCCCCCCCCGTCCCCATGGAGGAGGCTCCTCTGTAGGTGGAGGAGGATGCGAAAGAGTCCACCTCTAGGGGAGCCCATCCCGTCTCCTGCTGCATGGAGCGGGTGGTAAATTGGGGCCCTTGGCTCGCCCGCTACAGGAATCGTCGGGCTGCTGACATCCGGTTAGGCGGGTTTGTGCATGGTTTGTGGTTCCACCCACCCCCTTCCCTGCTTGTTAGGAGCCTTCGGTCGGTTCGGAAGTTCCCTCAGATGGCTAGGGAATCTGGGCAACAAAGTATCTCTGGGTCGCGTGGGTGGTCCCTTTAAAAAACCCTCCACTACTAGACTCGTGGGTCTCCCCCCTGGGGGTGGTCCCCAAAAAAGGAGCAGGAAAAGTACCGTCTGATTCCCATTTGTCTTACCCCCGGGAAGGGTGGTGGGGGAGAGTTCGGTGACTAGTGACATCTCCTCGGTACTCTGCTGAGTGTCTTCTGCGTCCTTTAACGCGGTGGCTGACGTGGTGGGGGCCGCGGGCCCGGGGGGGCCTTGTTGGCCAGGGCTGAGGTGGAATCGGCGTTCCGTTTGCTGCCGGAGCTGTCACCATCTTCTGGGGTGTTTAAAGACAGGTATGGCGTGGATATGTGCCTCCCGATGGGTGTTCCATGTCCTGCTTTTACTTTGAATGTTTTAGCATGTTCTGGGACTGGGTGGTGAGGAAGGAGGCAGGGATTGACTCCTTGCCGCACTGCTTTGTTGATTTCCCTTGCGTGGGTCCTGTCGATTCGCCAAACTATGCGATGCTGCTGCGGGTTTTGGGTGCGGTGTTCCATCGGTTGGGGGTCCTGTTGGCACACGACAAGACGGTGGGCCCGGTTACCTGTCTCCACTTTCTGGGCATTGAGATTGACTCTATGGCGGGGGAATGCCGCTTGCCTAGGGATAAGATTTAAGGCTTACGGCGCGAGGTGGCCTTGGCCATGGGGTGGCGCAAAGTTCAGCTGCGCTGCCTGCAGTCTCTCCTGGGTAAGCTGAATTTTGCTTCTAGGATCTTGCTTGTGGGGCTGGTCTTTAACCGGCGGCTGTCTGTGGCAACGGCCGGGGGTCTCCGGGCTCACCGTTTCTTTCGGCTCACTCGGCCGCTGTGGGGGGAATTTTTTGCCGGTTTGGGACTCCTTCTTGACTGCATATAATGGCCGGTCCTACGGGCAAAAAGGCCGGAGGTTTCTAATGCCGACCTCCACCTCTTTCCGGACACGGCTGGCTTGGTGGGGTTTGGGGCCATTCTGGGCTCTAGTTGGTGTGCTGCCGTGTGGCCGGACAGTGGGCGTGTCTCTGGGATCACATAGAATCTGGCCTTTTTTGGAGCTTTTCCCCATTTTAGTGGCGGCGGAGGTCTGGGGGGTTTTCAGGATTGAAGGGTAGTGTTTTCACTGCAACAATTTGGGGGTTGTGCAGGCCATTAATCGGCTGCCGGCCTCCCCCCTTCGGTGGTTCGCTTGCTTAGGCAGTTGATACTTCGATGTTTGTGTCTCAAGGTGTATTATAAGGCAGAGCATATACCGGGAGTTCACAATGTGATGGTGGATGCTCTCTCTCGTTCTCGGTGGTCGGAGTTTCGGGCGGTCCCCCCACAGGCGGATCTGGTGGGGACGCCTTCCCCGGGGGACATCTGGTCGCTCGGTCAGGCAGAGTGATGGAATGGGTCCGTGGATCGGTTATCAAGGCCACCTGGACGCTATGCTCCTGACAAGACTGGGTGGGGTTCCCCCTCTGGTCTGGCACCCTATTTCGATGCATTTGCCTATTCCCTGGAATTCGTTGGGGCCATGTACGTTGGGGAATTGGTGATTCCTAGTAGGCCAGGCAGTGGTGGGGTATTGTTTGCCACCATTCGACGCCCTGCGATTCATATCACTATAAGTATTTGACAATCACGGCTGTCATAATTTTTCCTTTGTGGTATGCACGATATGCACGGGCCCTCTTTGGGTTATGCGGATGGGATCTTTTCTTTCCCATTCACAATTCTTTGGGTTTTCACTCGTGTCTGATGGTTCTGGGGATTGACAGCAAGGAATAGTGTGGCATTCCTTTCGGTTTAGTGCTGCCTGTGAGGCTGTTAGGATGGGTATGTCAGCACACATGGTGCAGTGATCCGGGAGGGGGTATGGTGAGATGGCTCAGTGAAGTAATGCTGGTTTCGTAGAATTTGTTCAAACCTTGGGGGGTTGCAGGTTAAATTCTCAGCGGCGGTGGCTCAACCATTCAATCCTTTGAGATAGATAAATGAGTACCACTTCTTTAGGTAACAATTGTTGGAAAAAGAAAATATCTGGATGTATTTTTCCTGGTTATACTCCCAGGTGGCATGCGTGTGTTCGTCCGGGAGGTGAGCTATTGGGTTGTGCGCCTTCTGAAGCAGAGGTTCGGTGGTTTGGTGCCGGAGGTATGAAATGGGTTCGGCTCCTCCCGGAACAGGTTTCTGCTGTCCCACCTGTCCCTAATGTTCGGGTTATCCACCTGGGGGGCATTGAGCTTGGGACGATACCAATGTGGTATTTGGCGTCTGCCCCTAAGAGGGTATTGGTGCGTGTTTTAGTTGTTTCGTGATGCGTGGTGTTGGGTTCACTTTATGACACTATGTGTTCTGTTATATATGTTCAGTTATGGTTATTTATGTTTAACGTTTTGGTTACAGAAAAGAAGAGAGATTATTAAAATAAATTCTGGATGTGTTATACAGTATTTATCATATGTTATAAAAAATGTAATTCCAAAAATGAAAAACAAAAATGAAAAAAACTTGATTAGTCAGAGGTCATTTCCCTATCTTTTGCCAGCGTGCCCATAATCAGTGCATGGTGCGCTGCCGTATGAAGCAATAATTAGAGGGCCTCTAGGTGTGTTTGAGGGCAAGGGGATTTTGGCTTGCCACGGGGTGTTTTCGCACACATGGCAGCCAAAGAGTTTCTGGGTGATGGAGGTCGGGCTCGACCTTTTTCGTCTTGCCATGCAGGAAGTGGTGGAACAGGCCTTAGTTGGTTGTGGTGGGGCTCCCTGCTGATTTTAGGTGTAAACCAGCGGGGTTTGTGGCAGTGAGCGTGTCCTTGCCAACAGGGTTGGGGAGCAGATGGAATGTCAGGAGATGGTCAAGGTGGGTCTGAACCTCCCCTGCTCTGTAAGGTAAACTTTCAAGTTACTGAATTAAACGTGCCCACCGAGCAAAAAGCCGGCTGGTGGTAGAGCATTTAAGATGATGGGAATTTTGGTTTGGACGAGGGGGGAGGTGAGACACCGGTGGATAAAGTTTAGGTGCATAGGCACCTGGTTAGGTTCGTTGGCAAGGACGGTTATTTAAGTTGGAAGCTGTAGGGCAATAATTGTTGATTTATATGTTAATTATGGTATGCATATATATTTATGTGTTTATTTATATTTGAATTAAAGGAAAAGAATAAAGTTCCGATGTGTCCTAAAGTTGTAAGTTTTAATAAATGCTGTGGCCTGTTTTATCCAATATTCGTTGTCTGTCGTTATTAGGGGGATAAGTGGGGTAGTCTCTTTACTTTTAGTCGCACTACATTCCCTGCTACGTACATACATGTAACATCTACATAGAAAATAGAAAGGATAGAATATAAACCGGTCCTTAGAATGGCCGGACTAATACGTTAGAGGCAGAGAATGGTAAAGGGATAGCCAAGGTCAAGGAAGCCAGAAATACACAAATACCTTTTAACAAGCCAAGTCAGGGGAACCAGAAATCAGCAAAGTCAGGAATAGCCAAGGTCAAAATACCAGAAATCACAATAATAGCAAGGATAAACGGACTTTCGGGAACCAGGACAGGAAACCACGACAGGGCAAGGTACTGGCGTGCTTCATGGATTTATATATCCCTCTCTAAGCTGTAACGTGCGTGTGCGTTGGCGTCATGACGTCACACGCACGTTTGTAAAACCCTGGGGGCGGAGCCATTGATGGCCGCGACCGCATGGTCGGCGCCATCTTTGTTTTCGGCAAACTGCCCAGAGGATCCGGAGGAGCGGTTCCCAGCTCGACGCCGAGCAGGTAAGCTCAGCTTGTCGGCGGGGTCGTGACGGTCGGGAACGTACGCGCCATGTGGCGAGCCGGGAGCCGTGACAGTCGTCTTTTCTGATGCGAGAAACTTTTGCATCTCATTTGGAAACCAAGGACCCAGAGTCTGGAGGAAGAATGGAGAGGCACACACTGCAAGATGCTTGAAGTCCAGTGTGAAGTTTCCACAGTCTGTGTTGATTTGGGGAGCCATGTCATCTGCTGGTGTTGGTCCACTGTGCTTCATTAAGTCCAGGGTCAACGCAGCCGTCTACCAGGAGATGTTGGAGCACTTCATGCTTCCTTCCACAGGCGAGCTTTATGGGGATGCTGATTTCATTTTCCAGCAGGACTTGGCACTTGCCCACACTGCCAAAAGCACCAAAGCCTGGTTCAATGACCGTGGGATTACTGTGCTTGATTGGCCAGCAAACTCGCCTGACCTGAACCCCATAGAGAATCTTTGGGGCATCGCCAAGAGAAAGATGAGACACATGAGACTGAACAATGCAGAAGAGCTGAAGGCCGCTATTGAAGCATCCTGGTCTTCCATAACACCTCAGCAGTGCCACAGGCTGATAGCATCCATGCCACGCCGCATTGAGGCAGTAATTGCTGCAAAAGTGGCCCAAACCAAGTACTGAGTCCATATGCATGCTTATACTTTTCAGAGGTCCAATATTGTTCTATGTACACTCCTTGTTTTATTGATTGCATGTAATATTCTAATTTACTGAGATTATGGATTTGGGGCTTTCATGAGCTGTAAGCTATAATCATCGCACTTATGAAAAATTACGGCTTGAACTACCTTGCTTTGCATGTAATGCGTGTATCTCATATATTAGTGTCCCCTTTTACGTTGCATTACTGAAATAAATGAACTTTTGCACGATATTCAAATTTTTCAAGTGTCACATGTAAAACAAAAACGTTAAACTGTTGTCTTTGACCACATTTTTGGCTATGGCTATATTTTTTCCCCAACAAAATTTCTATATAAAAGAAAATAGCCTGTTGAGGGTGGATGACTCCTAAGTCCCATGCCGCTGCCCTTCAGGAAGATATTATGAGTGAATTCATTTAATAGGCATTGGAGATACAGTAAGAATGTTCTTTGGGTTTAAATGAGTGGAAGGGTTTAAATTTGGACCTTAAAGGAACACTCCCATTAAAAAATATATATACATTATTTTTGTAATAGTAGTATTCCTTAAAGTTGACACTATAGTCACCAAAACAAATTTAGCTTAGTGAAGCAATTTTTGTGTACATATCATGCCTATGCATGATTACTCAATTCACTGCCATCTAGGAGTTAAATCACGTTTTTGTCCCTAGGCTATGACTGACATAGTCTGCATGAAAACAAAATGGTTTATTTTTCAATTAACTGTAACTTAATTTAAATATTTGTATCTCTTGCTCTGGCAATTGAACTATAATTACATACAGGGTCTAGCAAGCTATTTACAAAGCAGAATATAATAAATTCTAAATTAAACAGAATTTGCAATAAAGGAAGTACAAACCTTAGATGACTCTTTACAGGAAGTGTTTAGGAAAGGCTTCCTGCATGGTCTACCCTCGCTGGGCTGGCCTGCTTGAGTACATGCCAGTAATGTGGGGGGGATCCAGCGGATTGTGTCACTGGCCTGCCCTCTCTACTTCATTGACCATTGACTTCATTGGGATTCGTTTGACTCTTGGATGGTGGGTAAGTTAGCCACTGATTTAAGCTCCGTTCATTGCCAGAAATAATGTTCCCCATAAGGAATAGTAGTTTCTACTTTCTCATGTGTAACTAAAAAATAAAATAAAAAAATAAAACAAAGGAGAAATATAGAGACAAAAAGGAATTACTTTAAAAGTAAAACCTTCAATGACAGAGCCATTATAACTATCTTAATTCATTTCACTCAATACTAAACTGCCACATCTTCATGACTTAAAATCATACTTTTTTAAAACCGAGGTGTGGTATAGAGAGTAAAGATTCATACATTTTTTAAAAATCAACTGAGTGAGTTTCTCATATCACTATCATGCACAGAAGCAGGCGAGTCTATAGACTGACCTCCAGTGTGTGTGTCTTCTGTACACTAATAAGGTCACGGGGAACCTAAATCAGGGATAAAACAGCCCACTGGACAAATATTGGTTTTCTACAGGTACACACAAGGTTCAAAGAGCAACAGTGCTTGGGCAATACACATGGTCTCCGTGTTTCTGTTCTAACTGCATTCATCACATGAGGGATTATTCACCAAACAACAAAAATAGGAAACTAGAAAAAAATACAAAATGTTGTTATTTGCTTTTCAAGTCAAAACAATTAAGAGTTTAATGAACAAAGTATTATTTTAGCCACATTGCACACAGTAGCATACACATAGTCTTTGGTTTAAAGAAGGCTTACACAACATGCAGCCCGCCCAAAAATTTTGCACAGCGCTACCCTCCTGCTGGTCACTCCATGTAGCATGGCCAAGCTGCGGAACAGGGTAGTGGAGCTCCTGTAACCTCTCCCAGGTCTCACAAGAAGTGCTCACTGAGAGCATTAAACTGCTTCCTCTGAGACTCGGCCACAGAGGTGAGTATAGAGGGGCTGGGGGACACAAAGACAGGCACAGAGGGGCTGAGGGACACACAAACAGGCAGAGAGGGACTGAGGGAAATGCAAACAGGCAAGGAGGAGGCACAAACAAACAGGCACAGAGGGGTTGGGGGGAGACAAACAGGCACAGAGGGGCTGGGACACACACAAAAAGGTACAAAGGGGCTGGGGAACACACAAACAGGCACAGCTGGATTGGGGGAAGTCAAACAGGCAAAGAAGCTAGGGACCGATGAATGTATTTAGCAAATTGGGCAGACTAGATGGGCCAAATGGTTCTTATCTGCTGTCACATTCTATGTTTCTATGTCTATGTTTCTCTGAAGGGCTGGGGGGGAAACAGACAGGCACAGCGGCCTGGGGGAAGACAAACAGGCACAGAGGAGATGGGAAGACAAACAAACAGGCACAGAAGCTAGGGACTAATGAAAGTATTTAGCTAATTGACACACTAGATGGGCCAAATGGTTATTATCTGCCATCACATTCTATGTTTCTATGTCTATGTTTTTCTGTGCGGGTCTAGGGGACACACAGACAGGCACAGAGGGGCTGAGGGAAACACAAACAGACACAGAGGGGCTGGGGAGACAGACAGACATAGAGGGGCGGGGGGGGAGGAAACAGGCAGACACAGAGGGGCTGGGGGAGGAAAGAGGCAGACACAGGGGCTTGGGGGGGAAACAGGCAGACACAGAGGGGGTAGGGGAGCATAGACAGGCACAGAGGTGCTGGGGACACACACAGGCACAAAGGGGCTGGGGGGAGACAACAGGTACAGAGAAGCTGTGGGGAGACACACAGGCACAGAGGGTCTGAGGGTAGACAAACAGGCACAGAGGGGCTGGGGTGAGACAAACAGGCACAAAGGGGTTGGGGAAGGGGCAAAAGAAACAGACAAAGGGTTGGGGAATGGGCAAAAGAGACAGACAGGGGTTGAGGGGAGACACCCAGAAGGCCTAGAGAGACACAAAGAAGCTTGGGGAGAAATATACAAGGTGTTGGGGGAGAGAAACACACAGGGGTTGGGAAGGGTAGAAACATACACACAAAAGGGGTTTGGGGAGAAAGAGATACACAGAGAGGCTTGGGGGGGGTGGGGGACAAAGAGGGGCCGGGGAAGGGGCAAAAGAGACAAGCATAGGTGGGGGTGGGGGAGACACAGAGGGGAAGATATTTTGAAAACATTGATTTCAGATATGATTCTGGAGTATGATAACTATAATACATCCCATTAACAGTAAGAAAACCTGAAAGTGTATTTAAACTTGTTCTGCTTAGCAAAGTAATTTGTATAATATGGTTTCTTTGCAAAATAGTTTAATCATTAATTATTTCTTTACAACGAGACAAAAAAGTAACATTTTTTTTATTTTAGCCCACACTAAGTTATGCAGGTCTGGTTTAAAGGAACCCTTCAACATTAAAACAGATATTCAGTTTTAACATTTAGAGTGTTTTAATGTTTTAAAGCCAAACATACAGTTGCAAGAAAAAGTATGTGAACCCTTTGGAATGGATTTCTGCACAAATTGGTCATAAAATGTGATCTGATCATCATCTAAGTCACAACAATAGACAATCACAGTCTGCTTAAACTAATAACACACAAAGAATGAAATGTTGTCATGTTTTTATTGAACACACCAGGTAAACATTCACAGTGCAGGTGGAAGAAGTATGTGAACCCCTAGACGAATGACATCTCCAAGAGCCAATTGGATTTGGATTTAATAACTGGTTGAACCTCCTTTGGCAGCAATAACTTCAACCAAACATTTCCTGTAGTTGCAGATCAGATGTGCACAATGGTCAGGAGTAATTCTTGACCATTCCTCTTTACAGAACTGTTTCAGTTCAGCAATATTCTTGGGATGTCTGGTGTGAATCGCTTTCTTGAGGTCATGCCACAGCATCTCAATCGGGTTGAGGTCAGGACTCTGACTGGGCCACTTCAGAAGGCGTATTTTCTTCTGTTTAAGCCATTCTGTTGTTGATTTACTTCTATGCTTTGGGTCATTGTCCTGTTGCAACACCCATCTTCTGTTGAGCTTCAGCTGGTAGACAGATGGCTTAAGATCTCCTGCAAAATGTCTTGATAAACTTGGGAATTCTTTTTTCCTTCGATGATAGCAATCTGTCCAGGCCCTGACGCAGCAAAGCAGCCCCAAACCATGATGCCCCCACCACCACACTTCACAGTTGGGGTGAGGTTTTGATGTTGGTGTGCTGTGCCTTTTTTTCACCACACATAGTGTTGTGTGTTTCTTCCAAACAATTCAACTTTGGTTTCATCTGTCCACAGAATATTTTGCCAGCACTGCTGTGGAACATCCAGGTGCTCTTGTGCAAACTGTAAACGTCCAGCAATGTTTTGTTTGGACAGCAGTGGCTTCCTCTGTGGTATCCTCCCATGAAATCCATTCTTGTTTAGTGTTTTACGTATTGTAGATTCGCTAACAGGGATGTTCAGGGCCGCCATCAGAAATTTTGGGGCCCCTAACACAGCTCAAGGTCTGGGCCCCCCTTCAAGCCTGCCTCCAAATCCCGCCCACAGGAATACACACACACTAACAGATACAAATACTGAAACAGACATACACACATGCATAGGGAGATGCTGAGACACACACACATATACAAGCAGACATACATACTGACAAACATACATATACATACTGCATATTGATATATACATACATACCGACAGGCATACATACATACATACAGACACACACAGGCATGCATACAGACACACACTGGCATACACGCACTGGCATACATACACACACACATACACTGGTATACATGGGCATACACACACATGCACTGGCATACACACACTGGCATACACACACACATACACTGGCATTCATACACTGGCATACATACATACACATACACTGGCATCCACACACTGGCATACATACACACATACACTGGCATTCATACACACATACACTGGCATACACACACTGGCATACACTGGCATTCATACACCGGCATACACACTGGCACACACATACACTGGCATACACAATGGCATACATACACATACACTGGCATTCAGACACTGGCATTCAGACACTGGCATTCAGACACTGGCATACACACACACATACACTGGCATTCATACACCAGCATACACACACACATACACTGGCATTCATACACACATACACTGGCATACACACACTGGCACACACATACACTGTCATACACACACTGGCATTCATACACTGGCATTCAGACACACATACACTGGCATTCAGACACTGGCATACACACATACACTGGCATTCACACATACACTGGCATTCATACACCAGCATACACACACACATACACTGGCATACACACTGGCATTCATACACTGGCATTCAGACACACATACACTGGCATTCAGACACTGGCATACACACACATACACTGGCATTCATACACCAGCATACACACACACATACACTGGCATTCAGACACACATACACTGGCATTCAGACACTGGCATACACACACTGGCACACACATACACTGGCATACACACACTGGCATACACAATGGCATACACACTGGCATTCAGACACACATACACTGGCATACACACACTGGCATACACACACATACACTGGCATTCCAGACGCAGCATACACACACTGGCATTCCAGACACTTTAGCATACACACACACACACTGGCATTCCAGACACCAGCATACACACACACACATACACTGGCATTTCATACACACACACACTGGCATACACACTGGCATTCATACACTGGCATACAGACACTGGCATTCAGACACTGGCATACACACATACACTGGCATTCATACACCAGCATACACACACACATACACTGGCATACACACACTGGCATTCATACACTGGCATTCAGACACACATACACTGGCATACAGACACTGGCATTCATACACACATACACTGGCATACACATACACTGGCACACACATACTGGCATTCAGACACATACACTGGCATTCAGACACCAGCATACACACACACATACACTGGCATACACACACTGGCATTCATACACACATACACACACACATACACCAGCATACACACCAGCGTTCAGACGCAGCATTCAGACACCAGCATACACACACACATGCCACTGGCATTCATACACCAGCATACACACACACATACACTGGCATACACACTGGCATACACACACTGGCATACACACACTGGCATACACACACTGGCATACACACTTTCCAGCATACACACACACTGGCATTCAGACGCTGGCACACGGCATTCAAGACGCCAGCATACACACATACACTGGCATCCACACACTGGCATACATACACACATACACTGGCATTCATACACACATACACTGGCATACACACACTGGCATACACTGGCATTCATACACCGGCATACACACTGGCACACACATACACTGGCATACACACACTGGCGTTCCAGACACCCAGCATACACACACACACACTGGCATTCATACACACACTGGCACACACATACACTGGCATACACACACTGGCATTCAGACACACATACACTGGCATTCAGACACTGGCATACACACACATACACTGGCATTCATACACCAGCATACACACACACATACACTGGCATACACACACATACACTGGCATTCATACACCAGCATACACACACATACACTGGCATTCATACACCAGCATACACACACACATACACTGGCATTCAGACACTGGCATACACACACTGGCATACACACACTGGCATTCAGACACACATACACTGGCATACACACATACACTTCATCCCCAGCCACCCTCCTCTCTTCCTTACCATTTCGTCGCAGGAGGGTGGCTGGGGATGATGGGCATCGGCTGCCTCTCCTCATGCTGCGTCCTCCTTCCCGCGCGGAGTAAAGTGGGAGGAAGTGACCGGACGTCACTTCCTCCCAGCAGCACTTGCTTCCGGTTGCATTTTTTTTTTTTAAAGGGGCCCGGTCGCGCTATTACAGCGCTAAACGGGCCCCTGAAGATAATAGGGCCCATTGGGTGGCCCTAAATGATTGGGGCCACCTGATGGGCCCCATCAGCGTGTGGGCCCCGGTGCAGATGCACCGGCGGCAGTTCCGCTGATCCACGTGGGGCCCGGGCAGCCGGGCCCCCCAGGGCCGCCGGGCCCGTGACAATTGTCACGGTTGTCATGCCCTGATGGCGGCCCTGTTTATCCCCAAAGGCTTCCTCCAGCTCCAGATCTCCAGGTCGCTCAGTGGTATTTGGCTTCTGAAACGG